TGGGTTCAAGTGATTCTTCTGTGTCAGCCTCCTGAGTAGTTGGGATTACAGGGACCTGACACCACTCCTGGCTAAATTTTTGTATTTTTAGTAGAGGAGGGGTTTCACCATGTTGGCCAGGCTGGTCTCAAACTCCTGATCTCAGGTGATCCACCTGCCTCAGCCTCCCAAAGTGCTGGGATTACAGGTGTGAGCCACTGCACATGGCCAATTTTGCTCACTTTTTATGTTTTGTTTCCTTAATGGTTGTTTTAGGGCTAAAATATACATCTTACCTTATTAAAATTGGTTCCAGATTTATACTAACCTAATTTTAGTGAGATATGAAAGCATTATTCATATACAGCTCTATTACCTTCCCCCCTTTTTTTTGAGACGGAGTCTAGCTCTTGAGTTCAGTGTCGTGATCTTGGCTCATTGCAACCTCCACCTCCCAGGTTCAAGCAATTCTCCTGGGTAAGCTGAGATAACAGGCACACGCCACCAGGCTCAGCTAATTTTTATATTTTTTAGTAGGGATAAAGTTTCACCTTGTTGGCAAAGATGGTCTTGATCTCCTGACCTTGTGATCCACCCACCTTGGCCTCCCAAAGTGCTGGGATTACAGGAATGAGACACTGCACCCGATTCCCCCTTTTTATTGCTAATGTTACACATATTATACTTCCACATGTTATAAACTAAAAAGTACATGTAATTATTACTTTATATAATGTTAAGCATTCTACAGAAGTTGAGAGAAGGAAAAAGAGCAGGTATGAATTTATATAAGTTTGTATGTTAATGTTCTTAGGCATGAACTTCCACACCTTTTTCCAAATAAAGTTAGTTGCCTTAACCAGAGCTGTGGAATTCTTTCTTCTTAATGTCTATCACTTCACCTGAGTAGAACTTCTGTGCTATTGCTAGAGGTGGGATCAGTGGCCCACTTCTTGCAGACTGACAACCCTACTCTAAGAGTTGAGGTTTCTGGGCAGAGACAGTAGCTTCTGGTCTTCTCAGCTTGCCTCTCCCAGAACGAAACCTTCAACCTCTAAGTGAGCTAGGGTAGGGGTGATCAGTCACAGTATTGTAAGTCTAACCCCGGTAGAATAAAACTTCTACCCTATGAGCAAGGGCTAGGCAGGAGAAGGGAGACTGGTATTCTTGACCAATACTGCTTAAATTAGAGCTCCTATAATACAAGGAGTTTGCATTAGGAGGAGTTGGGGGTAGTAGGGAAGGCAGTTGAGAGATGCTGGTTGCCTGACCATCCTGGGATGAAAACATAGTCTTAGTTTGGAAAGGTAGTTCTATATTCTTGACTGCAAATGTCTAGAACACAGCTTTCATCATCTTGAGCTAGAATGCAGGGGTGTGAATGGATTGTGGCTCAAATCCACAGACATTCACTCTTGTTATTAAGATTTAGTACATTATCTTGAATAGATGTTTATTCATTTGCTGCAAGTCCTTAGGACAACTTTCAAAGACTTTAAATAGCTGGCTTTTAAAAAATAACTTCCAAGCAGTTGAATGAGTTTCCCTGTGGAGAGGGTCTGCTGTGCTCCTCACACTGCCATGCAGTCTATCTCCTCAGAATATTTTTATATTGCTACGATAAACCAAAATATAGACCATACTTACCTAAGATCCCTCCCTCCCCTTCACTTAAAAAAAAAAAAAAAAAGAAGAGAAGGATTATTGAGTATTTTCTACTATTTTACTTATGGAGAAAGTAAGGTATACTTGAAAGTCCCTTAATTTTGAAATCAGACAGAACTGAGGTGAATGCTGAGTCTGTCACTTATAATGTAGACTTTGTTAAACTTTCAGAGCCTCAGTTGTCTCATCCATAAAACAGAATAAGTAATATCTACTCCAGAGAGTGCTGTTATGCTCTGAGAAGAAAAGAAGATAATAGACTTATGTCTGTAATCCCAGCATTTTGGCATGCCATCGTGGGAGGATCGCCTGAGGCTAGGAGTTGGAGACCAGCTTCTGCAACACAGAGACCCTCGTCTCAAAAAAAAAAAAAAGAAAAAAAAAAAAAAAAAAAAGGAAGAAGCTGGGAGCTGGGTGTGGTGCATGCTTGCAGTCCTGTACTCTTAGCTGCCTGAGAGCCTGAAGCAGGGAGATTGAGCACAGAGTTTGAGGCTGCAATGAGCTATGACGGTACCGTGGCATTCCAGTCTGGGTGGCAGAGACCCTGCCAAGAAAAAGGAAGAAGAAAGAAAAAAAGAAAAAAAGAAAGAAAGAAAAAAAAAAGAAATAATATAGAGAGAGCACAGGAACTGGCAGATTGTAGGCATTTTTTGTTTTGAATGAAAAAGGATGGTGCCTGCCACCTAGAGTTAAGACTATTTCTGGGGGGTTGTAGCAGATAATTTGATAATAAAAAGTGCCCTCTTTCCAGTGCCTAGCATCACTCTGTACATTAACATGATTTATAAAAATCTGCTGAATAAATAGATAATGAAAAAACTTATTTTTCTTTTCCTAGGTAAAAATGAATTGAAGAATAGAACTAGTATTTAAGCAAAAAATACCATTTCATTTTCTCTATATATTTATATTGATCTTTTTCTTAATTATTTTAATTGTAGTTTGCTTCCCTTCAATGTGGTGTAACAATATTTAAATAGTGCTTAACAGTTTTTCAAGTGCTTTAATCAATATTATTATAAATTAAAAACAGCAACTGTGTGAAGCAAGATAGGTATCATTTTTGTTTTACCTATTTCTTTTAATAAAGAAATAAGCTCAGAGATAATAAGATTGTTACTACGATGGTGCTTTGCAGTTGTACTAAATCAAAGTCACCTTCTATTATGCAGGGTGTCTCTGTCATGTGGGTATTCATCATTTAAGTTTCTGCAACTACAAAGTTGTGTAAGGAAGCAAGAGTCATAACATAACTACTCCTAAACATGTCAGCCAATTAAATAGCATTCTTACCAGTTTAACACTGTAATCTATCCCTGGCCATTAGTCAACCACTTTGTCACTCTCTAATTGTATGAAATCAATTGAATGATATAATGCAAATCAATGAAAAATGATTAGAAAAGGTAACTAAAAATTTTGAAAGAGACACATTATTTCATTAAATCAATGAAAGTGTTGCTGGAGAGTGTTTGAATAACATGCAAATCCAGAATCAGGCAATAAGAATCAGGTCGAGTTAGGCTGATTAACATTAAAAGAAAGTTTGTAATAGTAAGTGGCAGAATTAGAAATCAACTCAGTTCTGTCTATTCCAAAATTGGGGCATTTTCAAGTACACCTTATTGTCACTATAAACAAAAAAGGAGAAAATACTCAATAATCCCTTTTTTCTTTGAAAAAACATACAAGGATAGGAAGAATGGTTTATATTTTGGTTTATTACGGTAATATAAGAAGAAAACTACCTAATACTAATGATACTGTAAGTGCTCAAAAACAAAAGACCTGAATATCAAAGTATTCAGGGAGGTTACTGAGAAAATTGATGATGTCCTGATGTGTATTTCGGGAAAAATAATTTTCTGTATGATTGTGTGCTAAAACTTAAACCCAAAGTGAAAAGCACTGTACCCTGCTTTGATTAGGAAGAAATGGGTATCCCTAAAATTTCTGCAAAATTCTTGTAAATAAAATTCTCTATTTTGATTTGCTGAAACAACGCTCTTTATGATGATAGAGTATCAAATGCTACTACAGAATTAATCGCATAATTTGTAAGTCATATCTCAAAAAGAAAATTTTCAAGAAGTCATGATGGAACATGTAAAATGAAGAAACGAGAGATTTGTGGGGTTGTTTTTGTTCCTTATTTAGGCTACGTACAGCATTAAAAGATATCATAGTTTTCTTCTGAGTGGAGCAGATAGCTGGCAACAAGAGATGGCTAATGTAGTATAGATTGGGGAAACAATTATTTCAATGTATTAGCAATCATTACTACCACAAAAATGACTTAACAAACTGCTATAGGCTTCTTAACTCCTCAGTTATCTCTCCATCCCCTCTTAGACTTGCTTGCTTTCATTCCATATTATGCCCTCTGTCTATTTTATCATGAGGAGAAAGTCTTCTTGACACTTAACGAATCTTTCCTTTTTATAGGAGCTTCTTCTATGAAGTGTTAATCTTTGAATTCTACTTAGTGCTTTTAAAAATGTGTATCTCTTCTTGAACTACAGAATACTCTTGGTAAAACAAGATTTGGACTCAGTATTAACAAAAATCTGAAACTTAAATAAAGTTTTATTTCATTATGTAAGGTATGAGTAGAACCACAGGAGGGACTGGTTTTAAATAAACATACCAGAATATATGTATGTTATGTTAATCAAAATAAATACCTTGGAGGTAATAAATGCATTTCAATAGGGCATTCACTACTCAAAATACTGTGAAACTCCTTTTTTGGCATTGTAATCAGAATGACTTTAGGAACTACACATTATCTTTGCAGTCATACAAAATTTTTTATAACCCCAAATTACATTGCCTGACTTAACAAACTTACTCACTTGAATTGGTTTCAAATAACTTCCTGTTGTTTTCTCCAAACAAAAGTAAAGCTAATGAATAAAACAAAACAAAACAAAAACCAAAAAACCAAAATAACCATTAGTGGATCACATTTTGCTCCCCAAATAATCAAAAGAATGTACAATAGAGCCTGGAGTTAATATTTTTTTGTAACAGCAGGGCCTATTAAAAACAGCTTTTCGGACAAATAATCCTAATAAGTCACTGAATGTATAAATTCTGCTACAGGGATGGACGTGGTGGCTCACACCTGTCATACCAGCATTTTGTGAGGCCGAGGTGGGCGGATCACTTGCGGTCAGGAGTTCAAGAACCAACCTGGCCAATATGGTGAAACCTCATCTCCACTAAAAAAAAAACACAAAAATTAGCTGGGTATGGTGGTGCGTGCATGTAATCCCAGCTACTCGGGAGGCTGAGGAAGGAGAATTGCTTGACCCTGGGTGGCGGAGGTTGCAGTGAGCAAAGATGGTGCCACTGTACTCCAACCTGGGTGACAGAGCCAGACTCCATTAAAACAAAAATGTTTTTACATTTGTTAAAACCATCACTTAATTCTATTTTGAAACCCATATTCATTGCTCAAAAAGATAAACATATTGATAGATCATAGAATAAGATGTTGGAAACAGGTGTCACATGGAAATCTTAAATTGGGATAATAAAAATAAAACCATTAAAAATAGAATGGTTATGCCTTAGAAAACAAAATGACACCTATTAATCAAATAGCTAATGCTATATCTTTCTGGTAATGTATGTTAAGTGGATGTACTTTGGACATCTAACTTAGCGACTGTTTAGGTATAAAGTTTTTGCTTTAGTTCATGTTTGCAAAATTCAGATATTTGAAGTTATTATTTCATAAAATTATTCCAATATTTAGAGCTATCAACATTTCGGCTCCAGGGTAAACTTTCAAAAAGTTATATTTAAAGACAACAAAGAAAAATAGAGATTTTCAGTACCAGATGTCGGGGAAGATCCCATTTGGATTTGAGCTACTTAAATTTGCAATCATGTATTTATACATCTAACAGAGCTTCTGCTTCCCCCAGAATCAGAAAATTAACTAGCTTTGTAGCATCTTCCTTGATCTGCCACCCGTGCCCCGAGGATTAGAGACTCCACCTGAGCTTGTTTTACAAGCATAACAGAAAAAATTAATCTCTGCTGGCAGCACTCCCACTGGGATACTGATGAATAATGATATCCCTCTTTTGCTGCCCTCTCAGTCCACTAGAAAAGCCACTCTAACCCAGCAACGTGGAAACTGCTGAAACCATTCCAGCTGTGGATTAGCAGGCAGTCAAGCATCCATCTGCTCTGTGTGAATCAAGAGAAAGCAAACATGCATTCTTACGGCTAAAGTCATAGTCAAACCCCAAAACATCTTAGAGAAACACACACACACACACACACACACACACACACACACACACACACACACGGCAAGCACATTCTGTAAGCTAAATTAACCCAGTTCCTCAATTTAGTTTGCATTTCCTTGGTGCTTTTCACATTGGAAAACAAAGTATGTACATGATGAGGGGTTATAAGGTACAGCTCTTAAGTTTGATATGCATATATGGGGCTGATTCATTAGATAGTAAACTTCTCGAGTGTGATATGAGGATACATCAGGTACATATACATTTCTGAATTCTCAAATACAGCAACCAACAACTTGTTTTATAAAAGAAGACTGTTTAGTCAGTGGCTTTACTTCATTGATACACTGATGTGATGGTTATCTGTGGATTTTTGTCTTCTCCGAAAAGAAAAAAAAAACCATTGCTTTGGTCTATAAATAGCAAAATTGCATTTAACGTGACTCTATCAGCTCCATATTAATGAGCTTTCTAGCATTTTAATATATCCATAATATGCTGATATTTATAATGATAGACTCAGGACTCTGAAAGATCCTTAGAGGTCTTCTGAATCAGCAAAGAAACCCATAAACACACACACATATAGATTTTAACATGGGTCTAAATGTATTGTGTTAAAATTCCTTGAATTCTGAAATCCATATATGTTATATATGTAGAAACTTCATTAACAAAAATATTTTAAATAACCATCACATCATATTTCAAGTCCATGATTTAAAAAAAAAAAAACAACAAAAACTCTGCTTTTAAGTTTCAGTCTGGTATCACCCACATCACCTTGGTGCTGGTCTCAAATGACAATCTATTCATCTTTTGTTTTTTCCCTGATTTTAGTTGCATTCAGTAGTTATTTTGAGGCCTTAACTGATTCTTTCCTTTCTCTCTTTTCTTCCTTCTTCACTGGTTAAAAAGTAAAAGTAGTTCCAGTTCATGACCCTTTCTATGCTTTTAGTTTAGCAAAGCAATACTGTCAGCTCAGTCACTGATTCTGAGCTGTTCATTTGTTGATCTGTCAAAAGAAGATGACACCTGTTTGGCATTTATTTTACATATTTTGACACTGTTTAATAAATAACAGAAAATATCGACAAAGATGGTATAAAAGACCTAAATCTAATAAGTTGAAGGAATAATACATAGAATAATTATCTCTTACCAACAGAAATATTTGAAAACTGAGACCACAGTGCTTCTGCCAAATTGCATTATTCTTCTGAGTTACACACAAAACAACAATATAAGAAAGTACATTTTATGATCTAAGGAGGGTGACATTTGGAAAATCCTTCTTATGCCTCAATTTTTTTTAAAGCACAATGAGCTCTAGCTTTCTGAAATAATCAAATTTCTGAGATATGCTTACATTCCACTGGACTGTCAGTTGGAAAACACTGCGAAATAAGTGGAACCCTTTTTCAGGAGAATGTAATATTAAGACAAAAAACAGATGTGTGAATAATACTACTGTAATAAAGGCCATTTCCACGTATTTCATTTTGTAGTACCAACAATTTCTTTAGAATACATAGTATGAGAATGAGGCATACCCGTTTCTTTGAATTTAGAAATCAAAAGATATCACTGGAAATTCCTCTAGGCTTCTGTCATAAATATTGTAACCCAGCATAAAAATATTCATTTTAGCCTTCTCCTGATGGGAGGATTACAGTCTGCTAAGAATTATTAATCAGTAGGTAGATTTTTTTCTTGAAAGAGCTCTTCAAAGCTATTCAGTTAATTATTAAGTGGTCTTTGATTGTTTGACAGGACAAGCATAAATATCTATTAGAGTAGGTATATAAGGCTATATAAAAACACTTTTCCCCACTGATTTTCCTTCAAGAACTTAAGTTTATGTTTCAGTGGTAATAAATTATTTATTCTGAAAGAGAGATACTGTCCTTTACAGGAAAGTTTTCTATGTTTTTTAAAATTATAAATAATGCCGTGATGACCATTTGTGTACACACATTTTGACAGTACACTTAATTCCTTAGCATCAATTCCTAAAATGTAATTAAAACACTAAATTTCAAATCTTTTAGAAACCTAAAATAAAAATTTTGATAGATATCAAATTTCCACATCAATGAAGACTGTTTAGCAGTGTTTGGGAATGTCCAACTTACAGTGTTCTCATCAACAACGTGTATTGTCCTTTTTGAATCCCCAACAATTTCACAGGCCAAAATGGTTGCCACTTTTTTTCAATTTCTATTTCCTTTATCACAGAAGTTTGAGTGTTTTCTTTACATTTGTTAAATTGAATTTATTCTTTTGTAAGCTGTTACCAAATGCCCTCTCTTCATTTTACCACTGGAGTATTAGTGGCTTTTTAAATATTCTGATTATTAAAAAATATTACCTTTTTATCTTTCAGAATTATGACATATATTATTGCCTTTTAAATTGTATTTATAGGCATGCATATATTCTATATTTTTATGTAGGCAAATTTACCCATTTCCTTTTGCAATTTCTTCAACTCTTTTTTTGTGCTTCTTCCCATCTTCCCCTTTTCGAACTTTAAAAAGGGAAGAATATAAAATTTTAACATTATGCTTGGCTTTATTTCTTAATCTAACTGAAATTTATTTTGGCTCATACTATAGAATTAGAATCTAACTTGAATATTTTTCTGAAAAGTTATATGATTCACCTGCTGAAAGGAGGCATTCCTGGCACATGGATTAGCATGAGCTTCATGAGGAAGTAAAAGGGAAAGAGCAGTTGAAGGTGAGGGCTATTCTCACTATGCCCTATGCTGAAGCCAGATTCAGAACAATCCCATATGTCAGGCTAAGGAATCTAAATTCATCTTGTAAGGTTTTTTAAATAGAAGAGAATAATGATACTTGTTCTATATAGATATGATTTATATAAGTTATAATACATTGATGATCTGAATTTGCTATCAATATTAAAATATTATCACTAATGAAAGCTAGCAACAACAGATATCATATGGTAGGTAATGTACTAAGGTTTTATGCACATTATTTTATTTAATCATCCCCTTTACTTTATAGAGGAGCATAAATCTTAGGTTAAACGACAAGCCCAAGGTCATATAGTTAGAAAATGGTGTAGTTATGCCTGTTTCACTCCAAAGCCCATGTTCTTTCTTTTAATATTCAAAAAGTTTTCTTGATTTTTAAGGTGTTTCACTTTGTTTTATTTTTCATTTTTTATTGATGTATAATAGTTACATATATTTATGGGGTACATGTTTTTTTTCAATATGTGGATACATATTGTGCATACACACCCTGATCAAGTCAGGGTAACTGTGATATCCAAACATTCTAGGTCTTCTCTTCCAGATATTTGAAATATACAATACATTCTTGTTAATAAGAGTCACTCTATTGAGCTACTGAACATTAGAAATTATTCCTTCTATCTAACTGTATGTTTGTACCCACTAACCCACTTCTCTTCATCCCCCACACTCCCAGCCTCTGGTAACTATTATTCTACTCCCTACCTCCATGGGATCAATTTTATTTTAGCTCTCACATATGACTGTTAACAGGTAATGTGTGTCTTTCTATGCTCAGCTTATTTCATTTAACATAATGCCCTGCAGTTCTATACATTATAAACCACGTTTTTAATAACCAGAATTTCAGCATATTCCAGATATGCCAGTAGCAGTTACACTTTCAAGACTGTTGCTATCAAGCTATAATCACGTCTTAGACATAGGCCTGTTCTCTTCTTGAAAGCAGGAATCATATCTTAATTATCATGTTTCCTCTTGTACCTAACATAGTGGGTGCTAAATAAATATATTTGTTGGACTGTTGAAGGTCTATGTTTAAGAATTATCTGTAGAATAGCAATAGGTATAGGACAAATAATCTTCCAAATGGGAGAAAATGAAGGACAAACAGGATTAACTAGGAAAGGAGGCCAAGAATAAGTCGTAGCAGAGGAAGAAAGAGATTATTAAAAAAAACAGTACCTGTGTAAAAGAATAAATGGACATTTAATTCCTCATTAAAAACTAAAAGGAAGTAGTGCTTTCTTTGTATAACAAAAATGTTTATTATTGAAAACCTATATTTTATAAATACTTAGACATTAAATATGGTTTCTTGCTGCCTAGTATCATATTAAATAATGAAATATTTGCCTAATTATTCAGGAAGATCAATACTAAATATCACAGTCCAACCATCTTAGACTTAGCATTAGCAAAGAACTAGATTAAATTGACCAGAGCTTTAACTGCAATTGAATCAAGTGCATTTTCCCAGATGAATATATTCCTAATAAAATGGCCAATTTGATTTGCCTGATTTTTCTCTCAGCCAGGTTCCCAATGGCTTCCTAACTGTTTTGCAGATTATTGCTTAGTCCCAAAATAAAGAACATTTTTCTTACTAATACAGCTTCCTCATAGCTTTCAAGCCCAAGTTCCTAATTCAAAGAAGTGCTAATCCATTTGCAAAGCATCTTAGTGAAGGAGTAATGACCCCAGCCATAATCAGTATTACTAATCATAATTGCTTTATGATTTCTTCTAATTACTAAGTGGCTTTTTTTTTTTTAAACAAATATAAATAGATGAGCACTCTTAGAAGCACAGACATTGGTCTGGAAGCCAGGGTAATGTCTCATTAAAGAGTCTTGGTGCTTTTTTATTTGGAGATAGGATGATGTGGCAGTGAAGAATCATTTCTTACAGACTGTGTCTCTCCCCTGTGGTACTCTAAGCCCCAGAGCCATGGCTTTAGTAAAATATTAACCAAGGGAGACAGGAAGAAGGGAACAGGGAGTAAGGCAGAGCAACCAAAGAGGCAAAACTCAGAAAATGCCACCAAAAGGGTAACTATGAGAGAGGATGGATATGCAAATTTCTTTCACTATAGCAACCATTTTACTATATATCTCATAACGTCATGTTGCAGACCTTAAACGTATACATTAACATTTGTTTTTTTAAGTGCCTCTTAAGAGCAAAGATTACTTGGTAGCATAATAGTCACAAGATCCTGTACGTTTTTTTATTCTTCCAAGCCACTAATAATGAAATAAAATATTTCTTAGTGAGTCCAATAAGGCTGCTTTTCTGATAGTCAGGGAGAGACTAAGTGCTCTGAACCCCTACAAATATAAAGAAAGGTGTCTGGAGTAAAGCAGCTTTGAATGCAAAAGAAAAGCAAATGTAAACAACAAACTTAAACCAAAACACAGCATAACACAAAACAAAACAAAAAAACCTGTCTAAAGTAAGGTCAGCTATGTTCCAACATGTGTGTCTTAAATATGTATGATGCTTTATAAGCACATACATACTAATTATCTAATTACCTTATTGGATACACACAGTAACCCTGTGAAGATAAATAGGGCAGGCATAATCACACATTTTTTAATGAATAAAGAAATTGAGGCTTAGACAGATTAAGTAACTTGCCAGTTACACAAAGAGGTTAAAATGGTCATGCTGAGATTTGAACCCATGTTTCTGAAATGCAAATATCGTATTAAATCCACCATACTATGGCCACCTCAATGTTTTAATGGCTTTTACCTACATTTACAGGTCATTCCCCACTGCCTCAGTTTCAGCTGATGATCTTGCTTCTTCGTTTACAAAAAAATTAAAGCCAACAGAAGGGTATTTCTTCCTTATCTCACTATCCAACAGCAACCTCCTTATATCAGTACTCCAACACGGTATATCTTCTATTATAATGGATAAATTTTCTCTACTTCTACCTAAGGCCAATTCTTCCATTATACATTGATCCTCATTTGTCTTTTGTTTTTTTAAGGACATTGCTCCTTCCTGTATTATCTCCCTGCCCCATGCCTGGGATCATTTCCATGAGCATACAGATATGCTGCAACAGCTTTAGAAAAGGAAAGAAAACCGATTACATACCACT